TTTGGGCACAGCCTCCAATGTCTGCTTCGAGGTGGATGATGTGCCAGGGCTCTGCAAGCGGCTGCAGAGCCAGGGATGCTCCCTGCCGGTGCCCCCCACTGAGGTAAAGGATGCTGGCGGCTCTGTCACCTATGGGGTGGCAAGCTCCATTGTGGGCAACGTCAGCCATACCCTTCTGGACCGATCCCGCTACCGGGGACCCTTCTTGCCCGGCTTCCAGCCCATCCAAGGAGCCCCCTTAGACACAGGGGATGGGATTGAGATCACCCACTTTGACCACATCACATACGTCTGCCCGCGGGGTGGTGCCCGGGCAGCTCTGGACTGGTACCAGCGCTGCTTTGGCTTCCACCCTGACCCCGCAGGAGAGGCCGGCCGAGGGGTACGTGGTGGGCGGGCGGGGGGTGGGTATGCTGCTCCTCGCGCTGCAGAGCACCCAGGGCGCCCTGGCACCTGGCTGCAAGTTTGTCCTTGCCGAGTCCCTCTCGGAGGATGGTGCCAACCAAGTTGACACCTTCCTAGAGCAGCACGGTGGAGCTGGGATCCAGCACGTTGGCCTCCACACTACCAATATCGTCGCCACGACCAGAGCTTTGCAGCAGGGGGGTGTGCGGTTCTTCACACCCCCCGCTGCCTATTACAGCCAGGGGGGCAAAGCGGAAGAGATCCGGGGGGCTGGGCAGGACCCCAGAACGCTGGCAGAGCTGGGCATTCTGCTGGACACAACAGCGCCCGGGGACAAGGGCCGGCCAGGCACTGATGCCACAGAGAACCCTTCCCAGGAGTATTTGATGCAGATCTTCACCCATCCCATCTTCTCTGAGGAGACCTTCTTCCTGGAGCTCATTGACCGGCGGGGAGCGCTGGGCTTCGGGGAAGGCAATATAGGAGCACTGTGGAAAGCTGTGCAGGTCTATATGGACCAGCAGCAATAGTGGCAACACTGCAATCCTCCTCCCCCAGCTCCCCATCCTCTCCAGTCCAACCCTGGGGCAATACACCACTGCAGAGGTACCAGCAGGTGCCAGCAGCATGGCCCAGGTCAGCAGGGACCAAGGGAGGTCTCCAGGTCAACCGAGAGCCAGCGTCACCATGACAGCAGGTTGCTTGGAGCCAGGTCCAGTGGGGCTCTGAGCATCCCCCAGGATGGAGGGCGATTTTCCCCCTCCCTTGGTTCCCAGTGAGTTAGCCTCACTTGAAGAACTTTCAGCCTTAATTTCATCTCGATCTAACCAGACTTGTGCCTGCAGCACGGCCAAGGACACCGCTGTCAGAGCAACACCCCCAGACACAGGGGATGAGGGGCTGCCAGTGGGGAGCAGATAACCCCAGGGGCCATGGCTCGTCAAGTTACCACCCTGAGCGCTGCCAGCCCCTGTGTGGGGCAAGCGATGGCCCCTTGCTCCTCCCAATTAAAGAATTAACTTGCAAGCACTGCTTTGGTTTTTTTTCCTCCTGCCATTTAAGATCTGCCGCATGCCAGGCGAGGATGAAAGGACCCTTTCCCAGCCCTCAAGGCAGGCTGTCCCCAGTCCTGTGCTTCCTAAACTGAGGCCACTTCTGCATCCCCCCAGGATTGTCCCCTGTCCCTGCCAGCCCCAGGCAGGGGTACAAGCCTGGGGAGGAGGAAAACCCTTGGCAGCCCCCTGGGAAGAGCCTCGGGAGCTCATGCCTTTGGAGGGGTGCTACTGTGCATCACAGTCAGGGAAAGCCATGGCACGAACACAATGGGAACAGCCTAACAGAAAAGGTAAAAAAGGGGATAAAACCCTACAAAAATCCCAGTTGATCCCCACCCTCCCAGAAGTTGCTCTGGGTGCCTTATCTGGTGTCACCAGCAGATAATGCTCAGCCCAGGGGCTCCTGGGTGCATTAATGAAGAAATCCCTGCTGTCCCCAGCCCAGATGGGGGGATCCTGGCAGCCATCCTGAGTTGACCAGAGGCTGCCCAACAGCCCCAGCTTAGCACAGTGCAACAGAGGCAAAAAGTCACTTAAAAAAACACCACGCTGTGTAGATTTATTATTAGTAAACCCATGGCTCAGGTTCAGTAAAAGCAAATGTATAAAAAAAGGGCTGTTGGAGTCCAGGAAGGGTACAGCACCCACAGTTGCTGGCTGGGGGAGGAGGTGCAGGCAGGCAGGCGGGGACAGGGCTGCAGGAGGGATGTGGCCGCAGCCTTCCTGCTGCCAGAGAGAAACCTCTGCTGCTCTGAGTCCGCAGTGCTGGAACCGTGACTGGATGGAGCTGAATGACCCCAGGAGGGCTCCAGCTGAGTGGGGAGGACAAGCTTGGCGCCGGGTCAGGTGCAGGACCACACTGGCTACATCAAGGCACAACCTCCCCCAGGAGAGCTGGGAAAGCCAGCAGATCTGCAAGGAGGAGTGGGAGACCATTACAGGGCCGTGGGTCGGGCACGCAGGAGCGTGGGGGACACCAGCCCGACACAACAGGCAGGACTCACCCCTGCAGTGCAGGTCTCTGGTGGTCTCAGAGGTCAAGGGTGCCATCACGGGGAGGTGGGGGCCCGGAGGAAGGCACGGAGGGAGAGTTGCGTCCCAGGGCGGGTGCTGCTTGCTCCCTGCAGCTTTGGTCCCCGCTTCCGCTTGGAGCTCTGCGGGAGAGACACGCTGGGGCTAAACCAAAGCCCAAGGGCCCCCCAGCTTCCAGGGGTTGCCTCTGAGGCAAGGGGGAGACAGAGCCCTGCCCCAGGCTAAGGATGCTCCTTGGCCTGCCCCCAAAGCCCAGGGGGGCTCCAGCGTCACACGCCAGGGCCTGGCCCACAGCAACACGGAGCAGCTGCCAGGGCTGCACACCCTCCAGCGATGCCCACCGTGCCAGGGCTGCTCTCCTTCCCACGCTGCTGCTCACGTGCTTTCAGCACCTGAAGGAAGCACAAGAGAGCCCAGAGCTGAACTGCAGCCAGGTCCTGGAGCCAGGACAGCTGCAGAGGTTGGGGGGATGCCCAGCACCTCAGGGAGATGGAAGGAAGGCCCAGGTCCCCCCCAATACCTTCTTCATGGCCGTGGACACAGCTGAGGCGAGGAACTCCTCCTCCGTCACCCAGCGGGACGGGGACAAGGCAGGGTCCAGGGTCACATCCCCATCCAGGGGCAGGGAGTAGACCACATATGTCTGGTGGATGTGAGAGAAGATGTGGACAACCTGCAAGGAGATGGGAAGACATGGAA